TTCCTTACCGAGTGTTAGCTTGTTCCTCAATTGTAGAAAGTTCATAAGACTGTTTATTTTTTAATGGGAATAGACTCCCCTTTTTCGAAATTCATTTTTCACTGGTTTCTAAAGCCCTGGTAATCGCAAGATCTAGCTATTAAGCATGACTTTTCCAAAAAATTCTTCTCCCTGTGATCTTGAGTATGAGTCAAGATTTGGAGAATTTGTTTTTATTTTTCTCTAAAAGGAGATTAGCAGTTTAAAGATAACTTAAAAATAAATGCTTGGAGACCGAGGAAAAATGTTATAGGTTATAGTGCTCTACATTATCTATGGAAGGTCTTCTGCAAGCTCGTGGAATGAACGCAATCACTGATTCACAGAGTTTGTGGGTGGCACTCGAGAAGGAAAAGACTGTGTGATTAAATGTCACGTTTAAATATTTATCAGGGTGTCACACTTCGGCATAATGATAAAGTACCCACTAATACCTATTTCGTCTCTGCTAAATGCACGTGAACCCTTTCGATTAAATTGTGACATCTCAGATCGGCTTCATTGGGTACTAAGTGGCTAAGAACAATTTCTTCGCAAACAAGATGGAATGGTTTAAAGTCTGCCAAAATATTGTGAGCTCTGACTCACCATATGAAACATTTATTTGCATTTAAATTCGGTCACACCGAGGTGTCACTGAAGCACATGTCACCTCATAATCAAGCTAACAGTTGGCTACATACAAATGTCACTAACCTTGCTCAAATAAATGAATCTCAACCAGACTAAAGCTATTTAGAGCTAGAAGACAGGAGTTCTATGCAGAATTGAGATAAGTAAGCCAGCTCATTTGGGCCTTAACAGGGTTCTCAACTGGAACGAATTTGAAAAGCATCAACCATTTAGCCATTAAATATGAATAGTATAGTCGTATTAGGTTCTAAAGTTGTGTAGGTGCAACAGTCTATCTTGCACTTTGTTATTGTGGAAATCCATTCTGGTCACCATTCCACAAACCTAGTTGATCCCGCAAAATACACAGATTAGTCTTTCGGAACAAATTTCAGTCATATTTACTGGGTATTTGTTTGGGGATGTGAGTCGTCTGATGGCAAGCGTTATACCTACAACGACAATTTGATTAATGTTTGGATAGTAACCTGCACGATAACTAACGGGCGAAAAAGAGCTTGAGTAATACGAAATTCTTCTTCCGTTAAAGAGTTTAATTACTGAAAGGAGCAAACTGCGCGCAACAAGGGAGATCTAAGTCAAGCATTTTGGTATTTACAGCATTACAGGAGTGCATTTTTTGTCGTCATTTAACATACAAATACCCGTTTTGCAGCTGTCTTTTCAAATATCTCTTTTGTGAAGCAGCTCTTGTTCTTCCACTGCAATTATGTCTAGAGACAGTGTTGTTTTTAGTACGAATTTCCTTGCAATGCAAATTACTTCAGACGTTGTGGCAACATATTTTTGGTTATCAAAATTCCCATTTAACTCTTGATGGCAATCTGCATCAAAAGTGAGAGGTAGACCTGAGATTGGACCATAACGGTGGTGAGGAATGGAGAGGTACTGAATGCGACTGTATTGAATACGTGCATGAAATGATGATGAAAAGATTTGATGTAGTTCCCTTTTCAACGGTGCTGTCACTTGATTCAAGCCAAATACAGCCTAAGTAACGCGCAAATTAACGTTAGAAATGGGACACAAATGTATTTGGTGCTACGTTTAGCTAAATGAGTTCGTACGGCAAGCATTTATGCGAAAATTTATTATTAGGTGAGAATGGCTGCGCACCATGTGATTAAGAGAAATAATGTTCATTATTAACCACATGCCATAACATAACTACGCTGCAAGACTTTGATACACCTGTTGTTTATAACCTAGGTTTGAAGAGTATTAGACCACAGGTAACCCTTGCGATTTTTGTACTAAATAGCATATTTCCTAATGGTTAAGATGATTTTTAAGCTTGTAAATAATTAGCTAATTTTATAGGATGTTCCCACGATCGTCTGCACAGACGAA